TTAAAACATACTAAAATATTTTTCGAAACTGTATGTATGTTCATGGAATATGTAATAATGTGTCTTATGTTAAAGCTTAGCCAATAGTTCTGGAAATACTTAATTGTTATTTTAAAAACTGGGTGTTTTTTTGCTATTCATAGATGGCATCTCAGGTTTTTGAGCATAGTTCTTCGCCTTTTTCACTTGTAATGAGGATGTTTCAAAAATCCCAAGTATTTCAAAACATTGCAAAGTTTGTTTTGACAGGAGTGGAACATCTCTAGAAGGAAGGAATGCTTTAATCAGTATTACCCCTTTGAGGCCTGTGTTGTGCTCTGATATCTCTTGGTCTGAAACTGGGAATACTCTGTAAAGATACAATAAAGGTCAGAATTTGTTAGGCTGTTTCATATTCAGAACTCTGTTCCTTGCTGTGAGAAAGAAAAGCAATAGATTCAGAAACACTGTTCAGCTTAGTCTTAAAGACTAGCTGGAAGGTGCTGGTGAAGGCGGAACAACAGAAGCTTTCCCTGTCACTTGTTCCTGTACTTTGCAGAGCCCAGTATGTTTGTGGAGTTTGAGTCATTTCAAGAGGAGCTTATTTTTTATAGCATTTAAAAAACCTGACATACAGAGCCTATTAAAATATTTGGGTATATTCTACACTGATTTCAGTCTAATGACACTCTGCCTAAAGGTGTGGGAGAACTGATGACAGAAGAGACTCGAGTGTCTGTGGTGCGTTAAATTCAGTGAATGGGACTCTGATAGAACCTCCTAAAGGTACGAATCGGATTTTCTCTTGTTTCTGCCCGTGAGCAGCTGGGGATGAGTTTCACGGGAAGCACTGCTCCCCGGCTGAACTGCATTTGCACAGGGAGAAGCTCTGTACAGCCGGCGACGATCCTGTGTGAGACGGTACTAACGACCCAGCCCCTGTCACTTCCACCGCAACAAAACTCCTCTGCTTCGAGCCGAAAAACGTTTTCAAAACGAGTGAGCGTGATTTTCCCCATGTAGTGAAAGACTTGGGGAGTTCAGAAGTAACGTGGCTCTTCACCTGGCTGTTTCTGTGGCAGATTCTGTGGGAATTCAGCTCAGAGCACCCACGCACACTGTTGCTGAAGTTGCACAGGTTGGGGTCTTAATTCAGGCTATGTATGAGAGGAAAGGAATTTGAATTTTATTCCTGGAATAACTTTGCTTCCTCTGTTTTCCTGGTGAAACAATAGACTCTGCTCCTCATCTGACTGGGGATTGTTAGCATTTCCCAAAGTTGACTATTGCAGGTATCCCAGGGCTGTCCTGGTCCGTGTGAGTGCTGTAGCTGTGCACACAGACCCGGCTGGGCAGAGTAGGAAGAAATGTTGTTCTGGTATCGCTGAAGTAGGATGATACTCAGGTGAAGTGCTTCAGCTTTCAGGAATAGAATGGGAAGACGCTTACTTAGTCATAATCTACCATTTTGTCACCTTTATGACTTTAAAGGCATTACTCTACCACCTGGTGATTAATATTGAATCTGAACAATATTTTGTATTTTCAGCAGGGCAAATGCCAAAGAAAGTTTCTGATTAATAGTCTCCGATTAGACTATTCTTGTCAAATTGCCTAATGTAATGCAATGGTGAGCCCTGACTGATTGCACTGGAAGCCTTGTGCGGTTTTCTAGAAGATGCTCATTACGGGAGATTCCCACGTAATGTTGGACAGGCCTTAAAGAGAATTGGGCTTGTCAGTCTTTCACCATGACAGTTATTTAAAAATTAATGCATCCGTTTTGAAACGCAGAGACCTGCTTGTTCGTGCATTTGCTGGCAACACTACGGTAATGGTAGGTAACTGTGCAAGGTAGACTTCCTAAAATCAGCTCAGGCGTGGGCTGCTCCCCAGACCTATTAATATAATGGAACAGACTAATGCACAGAGAATCAAATCCGGACTGTAACGCACTCATCCGTATTATAAGCCCTGTCATTCTGCTTTGATCGAAGGTCATTTTAAGGCATTATCCAAAACGACAGTCTTAGCCTACCGAGCAGACCCCTGCGAACGTGGAAGGCAAGGCCGTAACTTTAGAGCCCACACGTTGTTATTTGCTCTGAGCTTGTCACGCAGTGACCCAGAATAACTGATCGCAGGAACAGCTACGGCTGGAGGCTGCCGCTGGCACCAGCCCTCTGGAGCACGAAGACTTCGAGGAGAAGGAGTGGGAATGATCTTTGTGCTCCCTCCTGCCAGCTGCGTGCTGCTGTCCGCCCGGGCTCGGCTCCTGTGCTCGCTGTCTTCTGCTTCAGCGGCTCTGTTAGCTCTCCCGGCAGGGCGGAGAACAGCAGCAGCACTGAGAAGTTGACGGTAGGGAAGTGTCTTACACGCTGGTGCTCAGTGGGGACTTCCAAAACTGTCTTCAAGAACTTCACATAATGAATCACTGTTTCTTCTGCAGCTGCATATTTTTAAGCTGGAAAATGAATCGGTGCTATTCCAACCGAGTCGGTTTGTGTACAGAAATCTGGCAAATGTGTGGGAATTACTCGGAGGGCTGTGCTGTCCGTCGTGTGCATCTTGCATGCACGTGGAGAGCGCCATGGAGAGCCTTGTTGGGCTCTTTGAATGAGTCCTGTCTGTTCTGGGTGTCCTGTGAAGTTCCTCTCTGCAGTCTGTTAAAAATTATTGACTCTTAACAGAACTCTGGTCTCATCCATGCCTGGAGACCTTTCACTGGCCATTAAAAGCAGCTAGGTCCGGGGCAGTGTCAGTTTGGTGTGCTCTTAGGCTGGATGTGGTAGTACTGGGCGTGGAAGTACCATAATCTCCACGAGTTATTTTTCCAGTGTGTAGTTTGTATAGAACTTGCAAACCCAGAATTTCTTACTAGGGTACTCCTCACATTGAAAGTGAAGTAATTTCGTATTTGAATGAGCTGCAGGCACAAGCTGAGTTCATCATGTAGGGCGTCTGGTTATTGAAAGTGCTGGGGGACCAAATAGATGAGCCAGTCGGGACAGTGGTCCCCTTTCTTGGTTACTTGTTCTATTTTGGTAAGTAGAGTTTTGTATATGTATTCCTGCAGCATCTTATGTTTCACACCGATGCCATAGGATTAATTTCACATTACATGCTGCGTTGCTGAATAGCTCCGACTAAAAATTGTTGTGGTTCACAGCAGACTCAAGGTTTGGGCATATCCATGTGTGACAGAAATGTAGAATAAAGATTGAAGGGTGTTGGTTTGGGGTGGGGGGGTGTAGTTTCTGTTTTGAGGTAAGCTGCCTAGTTTTCACCCCAGAGAAAAAAAACGCCTTGAGTATTTAAGGTGGAGTAGCTGGTACAGCACGATCCCAGTTTACCCCACAGAAAGCTTAGGGGTTCAGAATGCTGGTACGGTGCCAGCTTTAGTAATGGGGTAAACTGGGAGAGACTGGTGCATATGGCATCCATACGTACTTAGGCAGGACCTACATAAGGGGGGATGTTGAGGATGCTTTGCAGTAAATAGGCTGATGCTGTTGACAGTACTAATTTCAGATCAATGCGCTTTTTGTCAAAGATTTTTGTGTCTCTGTGATTTCCAGCTCCTGTCAGGGTGCTGATGCACTGAGCACGGCTGTTGTCCGGTTCCTCGGGTGCTGCCCTGCGTCTGACTGTTCCTCTGCTCCTTGTGGATTCCTTGGGGTGTCAACAGCTGTTTGTCCTGTGCGGGCAGGCCTCGTGCAGTGCCCATATGGCAGATCCTGGCTGTGTTCAGGATTTCTGGTCTTTGCGCCGGGTCATCCGTGCCCTCGGCGGGGGTTGGGTTCCACCTTTCGGGAAGCTGTTGCTTTCTGCCCCAGAACTTGTTGGTTTCCTGCAGTGAGCGAACCCTGAACGTTGGGGGAAGGTGGTGGCTGTTCTTCCCCCTCCACCTCTACCACCATCCTTTATCTGCTTATTAGTCTTCCAGCAGTCTGCAGTCAGCGTTTCAAATGGAGGAATTGTAAACTGAATGTTACAGGCAAATTAAACATTTGCCATCTTGTGAGGAAAGGCCTTTAATTAGGAGAAGGATACGCTCGAATGCCAAAAGGAGAAAAAAAAAAAATTAAAAAAAATAAAAAAAATTGACAGGGGACGGGCAAGCAGGGGAAGCAGGAGAAAAGAGAGCATATAAAGTCCTTGGATGTTTTAATAAATGATGTATCTGAGGATTATTTGATGTAGTTGAGACTGCCAGGATGTCTTGTATTTTCAGAACCACAACTGAAACTTATTTAGGATTTAAAAAAAACCTTTTTGAGGTAAGGAATTTATTAATAATTTCCTGTAACTTCTGTCCAAAATGCTGGAGTAAATTTCTTTTGATAAAATACAGACTTCTGGAAGTACATAGGAATCCCACAGCTTCTGACATGATGGCAAGTTGGAGCGGCGTTTTAAAGTTTGGAATTATTATCTTGGTTCTTTCAGAAAGCTTTTGAATATCTGTCTGGTGCTGGGCTTGTTACTTCCATTTCTCTGCTGCAGTAAGTGGTCCCCTGAACCCCTAAAAAGGGTCCCCCGCCCTGTCGGGAGCCGCTCTGTCACGCTGCTGGTGCCGCGTGTGGCAGGTGGAGGTTCAGCGGATGCGCTGTCGCAGGAGCCTGCCTCGGCAGCGAGCGTTCGTGCCGTCCGACCTGCAGTTCTGCAGTTTCCCTGCTGGTGAGCGAACCAGAGGATGACCCTTTGCGGTGGCTCTGTCCGTCTGAGACCCTCTGAACGTACTTGGAGGCCTGGGAGGGGAAGAAAACGATCCTCAGACTTCAAAAATACAGAAGATATTTTCAGTAATATTCCCCAGTCCTCTGGCTCTGCGTGTGATGATGTATTTGGTTCTGCGCCTTCGAAGCCATGATTTGTTTCCAAATCTTTGTGCCAGTCTCTTCTCACTTGCTACTCGTGCTAAACCTAACCCTTTAACGAAGCCAAACTTCTGTATAATACAAGTTGCACGGTCACTTCTTAAGATGGTAACTCCTCGTTTGTTTGTTTGTTTTTTACAGTGGGAACTCCATACTATATGTCCCCAGAAAGAATACATGAAAACGGCTATAACTTTAAATCTGATATCTGGTCTTTGGGCTGTTTATTGTACGAGGCAAGTATCTTCTGACTTTTTTTTTTCCCCCTACACGTTTGTCTTAACCACACGGTACGGTACAGAATTGAGTGGGTCAGACTTACTTTAGCTGAATTGTTCAGAAACCTTATGGCCAGTTCACCCTTCTTGTGCTCATCACGTGCTTTTTGAGGGTGCACAGCAAAGGGGTTGTGCTGTACAGCGCAGTACTTGCACAGGGTTAATTTAGTAGGTCACAGCAGATGTTGAGGCTGTGGACATGAACAAGCCAGCTTACTGCATTCTTTCTTCCTGCTGGGAGCAGAGCTGTTATTAGGGCAGCGTAGTCGTAGTTTCTCCTCAATACTGCATTTGTTTTAAAAATGGCAAATCCATTTGAGTGTAAGCTGCTGGTTTGTTACATGGAGTCCTGACCAATTGGAGGTTTTTAATTTTGGGAGCCTTCAATAAAGAAAAATTGTGGGTTTATGTAATTTGAAATCGGTTTCTCTGATTTTTGTCAGACTATAGCTGGAATTTTTTACTGTTCGTATGTTGTCTTCTAGCCAAAGGCACGGACACAAAGCAGGCACACCGTGTGATCCGCACGCCACGCTTCTGAGACGGTTGCACGCTCTTACATCTGTTTTGAAAATAAGTGTGCTGATTTTGTAACAGTACTTGGAGTTTTGTGATTTCATTTTCAGCAAGGATCAAAGAGTATTGAACGGTCTTGTACTCATTTATAATCTAATCTTAATCTTTTTCTAGATGTTTGCCTCTTTGAGTTCAAGTGAAAATGCATGTCAACATTTAGAAAGCTTTTATCCCAGCCCAGAGAATTAAAAGTCCCTGGGACATTTAGTAATAAGAATATTGCTCACATCCTCTTTGGATAATAAATTATGTGAACTGATGACATTTTGCTTCTCACTACAACTTCTCCTAACCACATGGAATTGGAGAATAAACAGAAACGTAATTTATTTTGCAAACACATCAGATGTGAAAACTACGATAGTTAAGCACGTACTTCAGCTAGTTGGTTAAACAAACCTTTTAGGACAAGGCGGTATAAAAGTAAATTTTCCCATAACATCGTCCTCCCGGCGGGAGTTCAGGGCCTGTCACCGTTACTGTCACTGGGAGGAACACCCCCCGGCACAGCTACACGCTTGCTCAGCGAGGTCACCCAGTGCCCGTGCGTTCCCAAGCCCTGGCTCGTACAGGTCGATGGGTGCTGCTGGACTGTTGGCAGAGCGTGAAAGGGCCGTATGGGGGGGGGGGGTGTCTGCAGTGAGGAACTGGTGCTGGGAGTTCGGCACAAGGACTCGATGAAATCCCACTGGAAGGGCTTCAGCAGGTTTGGGGGCTCGGCTCCAACAGCCCTTTGCTTCTTGCACATCAGGCAGCAGCACAGCTGGCCCAGGTACAGTCATGGACTGGAGTGTGGTCCAGAAAATGCTCTTGGGGGGGGCAAAACCCCCACAACTGTCCATCCTTTTCCTTCTCCTACCGTTGTCAGTCCAAAGGCGGTGTCTCCGCAGTGCTTCAGACAGCCGGCTCCCCACTGCTGACTGTCCTGTCGGCTTGACACGGCACAGAGTTGCACTAAGGAAAAAGATTTATCTGGGGGCCTGGCAGCAATGCCCCAGAAGTCACCGCCAGCAACGTAAAGGCCCAGCGCTGGCCTTACTGCAGACAGCCACTGGATGTGCTGAAGGGAAGATTCACTGTGGACGCGCATGAGCCTGATACCGTTGTAGCACTGGTTTATTGTCAAAATTCTGGGGGATAGGAGGTACTGGAAGGGTGTAAGGCACCCTACTAAGTGCTTGATCAAAAATATTTGGAAAATTGTGAGCTTAAATGGAGTGGCTTCTCAAATTCTCTCTACCTTGCATGAAAGAATTCAAGAGACTTTTAATAATTCCTGAAGCAGCAGCAACACGCCATTAAAAAGCTGGTATTGTTTATAAAGGATGGTTTTGCTTGTGCTTCTCATGAGATACTGAAAGTGGGATGGTGCAGTACAGCTGTAGGTACCTGGGTCTGCTGATGGCCTTCGAAAAGGAAATTGGAGGTTTTTCTGTGGGAACAGGGGGAAGGAAGCCTGAGCTCCCAGTAAGTCACTGTGCCAAGCAATTCCAGGTGCGCTTCGTGTAGAGGAATTCTCTGATTAAGGCTTTGCTGAGTCGAGGACCTCGGCCCTGCTGTGGCGCATGGGACTTGCCAAGTCCGTCGATAACAGTCCGAGTCGCCCGGCCTGGACACGGCTCCTCGTGCGCTGCTGGAGCGCAGAGCTGCTGCGTCGGGCTGCTCCGAGTCATTGCGGAGGCTGAGCTCTGCTGGAGATGGGATTCCAGATTTATGCAGAGAGAAATATTTAGCGTTGCGCTAAGATGTGTTTTTGTTGCAGGCAATATGGTCCCCTTATGGCACAGGAGGCTTGGTGCTCCTTGCATTTCAAGAAGCTGACTTAATTGCGCGCTAAACAGAGTTCTCTGGTAGGAGTAGCAGTGCTATAGTAACATGGGGAAGATTTGGCATATGAAGTGACTTTAAATTTACTTCCTACGTAGGTAAGCCTTAACTTGGTGAACAGGAGCTGCGAGATCTTGCAGATTCCAGGGAGGACTGGACAGTTACCAATTCTGTGTTCGTAGATAAACAGCTACTTGATTTTTTTTTTTAAACTTTCTAGAAAATGAAGAATCAAGTTTGTATGTATTTGAAGGAGCTGCGTTTTAGCTTCACTAATTTCTTGTAACGAGAATGTTTTTCCATTTGGCTTCAAAGTAAGGAAGCGATGTTTGTTTAGTTGTGAGTCACTTCTGATATTTCTCCAGATAGATCACGTAGATAAGCTGCAGAGAGATTTAACGTACAAATTGCCTTCAGAGACACTCGTGTCCACTGGAATCCACTTAGGGGACATTGAGGGGTTTGGGATGTGATGCCACATAGCACCACTTAACTTTGACATTGATAATCATACAGTGATTTTTATTAAATCTTATCAATATAGTAGTAACTGTCTTCATCCCTCACTTCCTGTGGATGTCTGTCAGCGAGATAACTTGGAGGGGATAAAAATAAGTTGTTAATTCCCAGAATATAGCTACAAGCAATGACTTTAGCAGTTCTGGCAAGACGATGAATTTAAACACTAGCAGTGATTCCTCTCTATTTTTTTTTTAACCAGTCGTACTGCATGGTGGTCACTTTAAATGGAGATCTAGCTGTCCTGCAGTAATTGCTCTAATCCAAATGTCAGGAGCGAACCCCAACGTGGCATCACAAACTGTTGTTAGTGAGATCTTCGGAGCGCCTGTGGCCGCAGCCCCCGCGGACCTGACCGCTTAGTCAGAACGTGTGCGCCATCTCCTTCTGGTTTGACTCCCTGCATTTACCACCCAAAACCCCTCGGTGTTTCCTTTTCGTTCCTTCTCTTCTGCACGTGACCGCTTAACTGGGCTTGGAAAGAAAAGTTAGTGGGAATTGAAAAACCCCTTTCAGCCTTACTGGTGTTACTGATGTTTGTGTTGAAATCTCGGAGGCCTTGGTTAACCCTTGGTTGCCTTCTGCGCCTTCCCTGATGCGCCCATTAGTGGTTTCCTTGGAGCAGCCCTGCGTGCTGGGCTCTCCAGTTCTGTTTGAGCTGATGGAGAGCAGTTTGCTATCAATCCCTAATGGGAGATTACAGCCTCTAATTGGAGTCTGTAATTTTTTCCCCACTGATCTGCCTGTTGTGACAGTAATGAAGTAACGGTGATGCAACTTCACCTTTTGCCTTCAGAAACTTCCAAAAGGCCACGAGCACGGGGCTGTTCACAAGCTGCCGGGCGACTCTTCAACCTCCGGTCTGCCGGGTGATGAGGAATAGCTTAGTGTTACCGGTGAAACCAGAGGGGTAACCGTGTGCCCGTTCCCCAGCCCGCTGCTCTGCGCCCCTGCTGAAGGCGTAATCCCTCCTCTCGCCTGGCCTGCGGCAAAGCACGGGCAACGTCACCAGCCCAGCAGATACCTGGGGCTGCCTCACGTGGAGCCTTACAGACAGAAAACGGAACAAGCCTGGGATTTTCCGAGATGTTTTTGGGAGCTGTGTACTCGGTTCGTTGTGTCCTTCAGTGTCATTTGGGTACCTTCATGTATTCTGTATTGCCGTTTATAAGCCTCTCTGGGTATCTGATACGTGCCTCGGGAAAAGCTTCCTGAAAAATATTTCAGTGTAGTGGTGCTTAAGGAGATAACCTTGGAGATTTGGCCAGAATATGTATGGCTTCTCATACTGGCTCAGAACCCACTGCAGAGGGTCTCTTGCTCTGCCTTGTGCAAGGTGACCCCCGCAGCTGAGGCACCTTTTCACTAATTTCCCAGAGTAACCAGGACGTTTTGCAAATAGGCAAGGAGGAAACGCAGGAACTTTAACTTATTTAAAAGACAGGTTTATGATTTAACCCAAGGGTGGTTTATCTTCATGTATCCTGCATTGCTTAACACTTGGACATGTGTTACTGGTCGTGAGGTTTGGGTAAGACACCCCGGCTGCAGCCCGCTCCTGCGGTGCTGGGGGGGCCGCTCGGGGATGCCTCTGTGCTGGGCTGCATCCTGCTGCGGGAATTCCAGCCCAAGCGCAGCATGGCAAAACCCTGCCCTAATCAAAACTGCTTGTCTGTCACCAAATCACTAATAATCCATCAATCTTGATTCCTAACTGCAGGATAATAGAGTGGAGGATTTAGTATTGACTGGTTCTAATGCTGCTGGGAGCTTGCTGTGTGTGTCAGCAACAAGGCAGCGTTCCTCAGACGGCTTTCACAGCGCATGGTAATGAGCAAAAGACTAATAATCATCAAATAACTCCCTATTAAAGTGATAGTGAGAAGCATCAACTTCAGCTGGCCTCGGTATGAAAAGCTTGACAATTTGACTTGGCTTGTAGCAAAATGGTTTAAAAAGATCTAAACAGAGTGGGTAACATCCACAATTATCCAGCGGTGCTTCGTTAGGAGGAGGCATCGCTGCGCGGGGCCACCTCTGACAGGCAGCGCGAGTGACGAGCAGCGCTCGAGTGACACCCTGGGCTAATAAGCAGATGGGCCCAGCATGGCCAGCGGCCGCGGGTGGCTCTGCTGGGCTGGCGCCCTGGTGTGGGCAGGCGAGAGGGACGGTGCTCGGCTCATCGTGTGCCGCTAACAGCGCGACTGCAGCCGCGTTTCGGGCGTTCCGGACACCGCTGCGGCTGTGCCTGAGGCTCATCCTTCAGGGTTCGTTCTGACCTCCTGGTTGAGGACTTGCAGCACGAATGGTTTTCCGCACACAAAGATGCAGTTTCCTTCCTGAGACTTCAGTATAATATAAACATGTCTTTGTGAGGAGCCTCCATGTGCCCTGGAAGAAATTCTTCCCCGCCCAGAGCCTTCCGTTGTGCTCTCCTTGCTGTGTGAGCAGCCTGTTTATCTCGGACAGCTGTCATCTTTTTGGAGATGCAAATACTGGATTCATAGAACAGATTGGAAAGAGGGAAAAGACCAGATTGATTAGGAAAAGTTTCAGTAGTTTGCTTCCCAGGTCTGCCTGGGATACTCTTTCCTAAACAGCAGATTCCCGGCAGGAGGG